AGCAGTCAGAGAGACATATCGATTTATTTTCAAGGTACTAGTGCGTTATTTTACCAATGGGAAAAAGTATTGTAAAATGATTTTTAATATATTTGTCTTTGAAATATCATAAATTGTAAGTTGATATAAGTTTGTAAGAATAAACTTATATAAACAAACCTGATCTTTATGTTACTTATACATAGGATTTGTATGTGTAGTGATACTTTTTATTTGAAACAATTTTATTTAATATTATTATTTTAAAGATGTAACTAGAAAATAATTTTGACGTAATAAAATTGTTGTATATTTTCATATAATATACATGATATTTTATTTATTATTATTGTACAAAAGTAGAATATATAGTACAGTATTATAGTACAGTAACAATATTAATTAATGTAACAAAAAATAAAATAGTAAAGATAATAATATTAATCTAAATAAAGAAATTTGATAAGACTCTCAAAATTAAAAAAATATTGAGAAACTGGGGTAAATAAGAGTAGTTGACTAATGAGAGAGCTTGCTTCAAAACTGGAATGTTTCAACTACTTTAGGGCCATCCTCGCGATGTACAAGTAATTTAGAAATGGAATTTCTTATACTCCTGCATAATAAGCATAATAGCCTGTTATGTAGGAATGTAAGGAATTTTTAAATTACTTGTACATCGCTGAGGATGGCCCCAAATGTGACCGAAATGTTCGAGTTTTGAAGCAAACTAAATATATTTGTTTTATTTTTATTAATTGTATGTTGCGTTAATTATATATTATAAATTTGCGTATCAAGTATCACGCCATACTCTCATTTGCTTTAACTTCTTAATATTTTTTTAAATATTAATCCAATTCAACAAATTTGCAATTTATCTTGCTCTTCTGTGAGCATGGCAAGGAATTTGATTTATAATTTAATTCATTTTTTGTAAGGCAATTCTCTCAATCCTTCACCTAATAAGAGTAAGAATCCGTCAACTCCATCCAGATTGTTTATTAAATATTATCTCGTAATGCTGCGATAACGGCTTCATCAAACCCTCCGTACACTTTGTTCGATGTATTAATCTTTCTTTCTAAAATATCATTGATTTTTAACAAGAAACAAATTTCATGAAATTCACGTTAAAAATCATTGAGATTAGTAAACTAATATATAGGACATACTTTCATTTGAATCAAAATCGCTATTTTCGGTAGAACTTGACAGCAGCAATAAATTTGATGCATTGCTGCATGTTGGTTGGAGCACCAATATTGGAGACATACTTCAACTGAGATACATTCAACATTCTCCTCATTATTCTGGTCATTTAATGGTAAACTAGTACATGTTCTAGACAGAAAGCAGCACTTACTGATTAGATGTTAATGAGAAATAGTCAAGGAGAAGAAATTTTTAGAGAAGAATTCCTTTTGTGAATAATTTTAATTCTTCTTTGTTGTTATTTATTTGTTACTAATTGATTATATAAACATTTTTGACTCTTGAAATTGTTGATATTAATATAATAGGAAATCTTCACTAAAGCTTAAGCGCGCGCGGCTATGAACAGTTTATAAGATATAAAATTCTTACAAAATAATTTTACATAATAAATGAAGTTTTTTAAAATACAAAGGATCATAAACTTGATCAGTTCTTGTATACTCGACTCTAATTAAAAAAAAAATTTCTACTGAGTGGATAATTTCAACAGTTTTAAGTAAAAGAGGAATAAATAACAAAAATACAAGGACTCTTCGTATATAAAATAAATAACAACAAATGAAGGACGAAGTAAGAGTCAGCGCATTCCTTAAAAAGACATGTAATTAAAGACATAAATTAAAAGTATAGAAAAAGTAAAAAATGAAGAAAAGATGTATAAGAAATAATAATGGTGAAAGGTAAACATTATAAGTTTCGATTACCGGATTGAGCCTTTTTCAGATGTTAACATAATGGAAACAGAATTAAAAAATAATTGTCGCAAAAGTTCGCAGATTAAGAATACACGCAGTTCGGTTGAGTCTTGATGTAGAACTCGACATTATTCGTACGATTGAACAGTCAAAAAAAGTGTCCTGTCTCATAGCCAAGTTCTAGTTGATAAAAAAAGAAAAAAGAAAAATGAAAAAGATCTCTTATGAAAAAAGTAAACTTAAATAAATTGACAATCGTAATTAAGATAAAAAGTGAAAACTTACCAGCAAACATATGTAAAAATTCAAAACTAATGTATCCATATAAGTAAAGGGTGTCCCAAAATTAACGCAAGATTTGAATTAAATAGAAAACACAGTTTTTAGTCTTTTGATTGTTATTTTTTTATTGAATCATAAAGTACATAGGATAGGGTTATTTGTGGAATAACACATCGGGCAAATGGCCTCCACGGCTTTGCATGCACATACGCACTCGTTTGTCGAAATTTTCCATGACCATTTTGCATAAATGTGGCTGAATTTCGTTGATGCAGCGTTGAATCTCCTCCTTTAATGCACGGGTGGTTGTGGGCTTGTTGACATAGACCTGTGATTTCAAATAACCCCATAAAAAGAAATCTAATGGTGTTAAATCACACGATCTAGGGGGCCAATTCTGATCACCTAAACGAGAGAGTACACGACCTGGAAACGTCTCATGCAGTAACTGAATTGTTTCACGAGCTGTATGGCATGTGGCACCGTCTTGTTGAAACCACATATTGGCCACATCAATATCATCCAATTTCGGCAGAAAGAACTGTGTTATCATGTAGCGATATCGAGCACCAGTAACAGTCACTGCTTGACCAGCCTCATTTTCAAAAAAGTATGGTCCAATGATGCCTCCAGCCCAAAATCCACACCAAACAGTGACACGTTGTGGATGCATTTGTTTTTCGACAATCACATGTGGGTTCTCCGTACCCCAAAAGCGGCAATTTTGGCGATTAACAAAGCCATCAAGGTGAAAATGTGCTTCATCGCTTAGGATGATTTTGCTCGAAAAATCAGCATCCATTTGTTGAATAATGAACACACGTTGTTCTATCGTGTAACGCTCCATTTTCACTAACCCTAAACTGTCAGCTGTTAAATTGTTTTTTTTTTGGGTTGCCAACACTTTACTGCACAAATGGCGGCAAATTTAAATCTTGCGTTAATTTTGGGACACCCTTTATAACAAGTAGTATAAACGCATACAGAAGAATGGAATGCAGATGTGAAAAAATGAACATTGTGTATCGACTAATGCGACTACCGCTCGCTGAAACGAATCGCCACGCAAAAATAAGAGTCTGCTCTTTTTTTATCAAGCAAATGTCCAAGAAATTTTCTCCATCAATTTCCATTGTAAATTGTAGTTTTTAGTGATAAGAATTAAATTTAATAAGAATCTCATCAATATGAGCATTGTTAATAACTAAAGCAATGTCATCAATATATCTTACATAAAACAGTGGTGTCAAAGAAAGTTTATTTAACGAAATTAACTCTAAGTCTTGTATAACTAAATCAGCAAGTATAGAAGATAGTGGAGAGCTCATGGGTAAACTAAAGGTTTGTCTATAAAATTTGTCATTAAACATAAAAAAAGTGGAATTCACAACTAATTTTAGTGCTTTAAAAAATTCTGTTTTTGAGATGTCAGTATTTTTTTCTATAAGGTACCATCTATTGGATATTCCACCAAGAACTAGATCTATTGATAAGTTAGTAAAGTGTGATATTACGTCCAAAGATAAAAGAGAGGCTTCAGCACAAATTGTCAAATTTGAGATTTTTTTATTCAAAAAATAGCTGTTAACTGTAGAGCTGTTTGCGGGAGGTAACTCTTATTAATGATCTTATGTAGGAAAGATGCTAAATTATAGAGTGGACTTCTAATCGATAAAACTATAACCCTTAACGGACATCCAATTTTGTGGATCTTAGGTAAACCATAAGCTAGTGGTAAGATTGGTATAGTATAATTTAAATAGTTGAAATTATAGTCCGAAAGGTGTCCGTAATGCTTCAAACTCTTCAATAATAATTTTAATTCAGTAATAATTTTATTTACTGGATTACGTCTTAAATTTTCATAGGTATTAGAATCTGCGAATAACAATTCCATTTTATGTATATGTTTCATGTTTATCTAGTGCCACAGCTACATTGCCTTTGTCCGCTCGTATGAAAATAATGTTAGGACTGTTTTTTAAAAAAGTTTTTGTTGATGCAAGGAGAGACAGAATGTCATTTTCAATATTGATACGTTTAGAAACATCTTTATGTTTTTTAATAACGAAAATATTTTATTTCTTATTTTAGTAATTTTAGGGATTTTAAGTCTCATAACATTCAATATGTTTAACAAAATATCAATAGTGATATTCATTATATTGTAATTAGGAAGACAAAAATTTTCACCTAATTGCAATAATGACTGTACTTATTTAGGTATTAAAGTACTGCTGAGATTTTTGAACCAATGATCATTTGTCTCGGTAATTTTATATGTAATATCTTTATAATCGAAAATAATTAAATTGGTTTTAATCAATTCATTAATATCATTCGAATTAGGATTATAGAAAATAAATTTTTTACAGGTATATAAATTAGCAAGGTTATTCGCATTCTGTACATTTATTAGTCACGTAATAATATTTAATATCGTTTATATTCCTCCACTCATAATATTCTTTATTATCAAGTGACCATCTTTCTAATTCACTTTCTTCCTAATCTGTAAGATTATTCAATATTATGTAGTTTTTTTAAATAAATACTATGTGATCAAAAAGTAAGGTGAATTTTTAATTTAAACTTCCCGCGCTAATCGATTCGTGCAAACTTTTTTATTTTTATGTTGGTACTACTGTTAGTGACATCTGTGGCAAATTTCATGTCAATGTCATCATTAGTCATATAGTTACGCTTGTGTTTTCTAAACGACTAAAAGTGATTTTGGCGATTTTTACAATGTCTGATTTTGCTGAGCAAAGAAGTGCCATTAAATTTTGTTTGCGGAATGAAATTTCGGCTGCGGAAACGTTCAGAATGTTGCAGAGGGCCTTCGGAGAATCGACTATGTCGCAGAAAAATGTTTATAAGTGGTACAAAGACTTCAAAGAAGGCAGAGAACGTACTGATGACTTGGAACGCCCCGGACGACTATCAACGTCAATTGATGAGCAACACGTGAAGAAAATCAAGGAATTGGTGCTCGAAAATCGTCGATTGACAATTAGAGACCTTGTCGATATGGTTGGCATTTCATTTGGTTCAGTTCAAACAATTTTGAAGGATCACTTGGGCCTTAGAAAAGTAAGCCGTCTCACACGGCATTGATTCTTCGTGAGTTTTTCGCCAAAAATTCCACTCATATCGTTCCGCAACCGCCTTATTCACCTGACTTAGCTCCGTGTGACTTTTGGCTATTTCCCAAACTCAAAAGACCGCTCCGGGGACACCGCTTTGAATCTATTGAAGAGATTCAACGTGAATCGCTGCGCGCTTTGAAGGCTATACCGGGAAACGACTTTTTGGCATGCTTCGAGGCATGGAAAAAACGTTGGCATAAGTGCATTGTATCGGAGGGGGATTACTTTGAAGGGGATCAAATTAATTTGGATGAATAAATAAAGATTTTTTATTTTATAACAAAATTCACCTTACTTTTTGATCACAGTAGTAGATTGTGATCGTAGAAAATTATTAAAAATATTGAAAGGAAACCAATTTAATTGCTTCCGATTTTTCGCGTATTTTTTGCGTATAATCTCATGTTAGCATTTCTTAAATTATTTTATAACCTTTTGGTCGTTTTAAAACAAAAAATCGTTTTTTTTTTTAGTTAATATTAAGACTTTAAATACAAAGCGCCTTTTCGGTCGAGTGTTAAGATGTTGAACTACTATCTAATATACATTCAATTAAATTGAATTAATATTTCAGAAATAAATTGAGAGCCGATGGATTTATCGGATTCACACAATCAATCTGAAACAAATAATCCCCCCC